AAAGTTAAGATCTTGGCTTTGAAATGGAAAAAGGATTATTGCCTTGGAGCCATTTGACAACTTGTATAAAAAGTATAAAATTGATAATAAAATAAATTAATTCTTGTCTGTAAAATTGTGTAAAATGAAGGGGCAAGTGATTATTATCTTGTATATGCTGACCAGATTTTCATATTTATTTATTTATTCATTCAGATTTTCATTTATAAGCAGACTCATTTCCACATTCCTTATAGTATATTTGTGTATCTTCTGTTGGGATTCTCTTTAATCAGAGACAACATCTTGTTGGTCCCTCATTAATTAATAAAAATTCTGGCATATATTCAATTGCTTATTTGAATTACAAACAGGAGAAAAGGACCAGTCTGAAAGTGTGTTTTGAGGAAATAAGTCACCTAATTGAACATGAGGTGTTTGGAGAATGTGATGATAGAGAGGTGAGATTAGAGTCAGATTATGGAGAGCTGAAAGAATGATGGTGCCAAGAGTGAAATAAAGAATAAAGGTGGCAGAAAAAAGGCCCAGTGCAACACATTCAAATTCCTTGAGCCACTGGATTGTTCTATTGGCACAGTCTTGATCAAGTCATCTAGCATATAGTGCCTCAGTTTCCAAAATGAGCATTACAGTTGAACCTACTTCATACCCTTGTGTGAAGATTGAGTTAAACATAAAATATTTAGAGAGTTACCTGATAAAGACCACTCAATGAATGTTAGCTACAACTTACCTGAAACACTTGGGGACAAATGTGTTTGAAAATTCATAGTACAGGCTGGGTGTATGGCTTAGTTTTTTGTTTTGTTTTTTTTTGTTTGGACAGGGTCTCACTATGTAGTCCAAACTGGCCTTGAACTCACTGTGTAGCCCTGGCTGGCTCAGACTGGCAGCAACCCTCCTACCTCAGCCTCTGGAACACTGGGATTACGGGTATGCCTGGTTGAGTATAGTTTATGTAGTAGTAGAGTACTTGCTTGGCATTTACAAGGTTCTGGGTTTGATTACCAGCACTGTAGAGTGAACAGAAAAACCATACATATTAAAAAAAAAAAAAAAAAAAAAAAAGGCAGATAGGTAGATAGGAGTTCATGAAAATTGTATATGTTCCAAGATATGCACCATCAAAATAATCAGTAGCACAGGAACTAGTACAATCAACAACTGGGATCTTGTCTTATTAAAAAGCCAAGCATGGTGGCGCATGCCTGTAATCCCAGGTCTCGGGAGGCTGAGGCAGGAGGATCACTGTGAGTTCAAGACCAGCCTGGGCTACATAGTGAGTTCCAGGTCAGTTTCAACTACATAGTGAGACCCTGTCTCAAAAACAAACAAACCAACCAACAAAACAAAACAAACAGCTGTAATCCCAGTACTGTGAAGGCTGAGGCAGGAGGATCACAGTCAGTTCAAGCCCACCCTCGGATACACAGTGAGTTCAAGGCCAGACTAAACTATATAGTGAGAGCACAAAATTCAGAATATTTTGGATTTAGAAAGATAAATAAATATATGGGTACACTGCATAAAACCCTCAACAGGATCTACAGGAGGTTCCTGTAACCCAATATATTAGTATTTCTCCAGTTTAAAAAAAATGGATCTTTACAATATGTGAATTAAATATGGATATGAATAGCTTCACATCAGCGTTGGTCAGATTTGCCTACCAAATGTTTATTTAACTTAGGTGAAATTTGCCCATCATAATTTTGTTTTGTTTTGTCTTTGGTACCAGGGATTGAACTCAGGATCTTGCACTTGCAAGGCAGGTGGCAGAACCACCATATAAGTTATTTTTTTAAAACCTTCACTATTCAGGGCTGGGGATTTTGGCTCCATGGTTCCACCACTTACCTCGAAAGCACAAGGGCCTGAGTTTAATCCCTGGTACCAAAAAGAAAAGAAAAGAAAACAAAACAAAACAAAAAAACCTTCACTATTCAGAGACTTTGAGTTTTGAATTACAAATAAAGTTTTTCAGAGTATGTAAGATTTTGGAAATTGCAGGTAACTGCTTTGTAGCTAAAATAAAAAGATTAAAATAGAATTTGGAAATCATTCAGAAAGCAAGATTTTTCATTGAATTGAATTTCCACTTTGGCAACATTTTAATTTTTCTTCTTGAAAATTGCAAAGCTGAACAACCAATGAGTCACAAATGAAAGTAAAGAAGTTAGACTGTTTCTACAATTAAATGATAATGCCAATACAACATACTGGAACTTAGGGGACACAATGAAAGCATTTCTAAGAGAAATTTATAGCAGCGAATTCTCATATCAGGAAAACAGAGTGAGCTCACATAACATAATGTTGAACCTCAAGATTTTAGAAAAAAAAGAGCAAGTCAAGCTCAAAGCTCATACGAGGGAGGAAATTATAAAGATCAGAGCAGATTTTAACGCAGTGGAGACTAAGAAAACAATACAAAGAATCAATGAATCAAAGATATGGTTCTTTGGGAGATTAAATAAAATCGACAAACCTTTAGCCAACCTTATGAAAAAAGGAAAGACTCTAATTCATGCAATTAGGAATGAAAAGGGTGAAAAATTGCAAAGCCCAGACAACCAATTATTGATGAAATTTTTTTTCATAGCTGTTCCACTTAATAAAATGAAAAAAAGAATGATAAAACATCATTTTGCAAAGCCTAACAAAATCATTAACCTAGATAATTAAGAGCTTCTGTATTATTTAAAAAGGCACAACTAAGCCGGGCATGATGGCATATACTTATAATCCCAGCATTCAGGAAGCTGAGGTAGGAAGATTGCCAGTTTGAGTCCAACCTGGGCTACATGGACCCTGTCTTTAAAAATAAGTAAATAAATAATAGATACAGCTAGATATTTTGTGCCTTCTTGTGGCAATACCTAACCCACTTATGAAGTAGTTTTGCAAACAATAAAAATTAAATCTGAATCTGATCAAGCTTCTAGACCAGTTCATGGAACAAAGGACACATGATACATACATCACAAACCTAGAAAAATATTGACTGGGTGAAACTTCAGGATAAAGGATACACTTCAACATATACAATAGAAAGGCAAACAGAAAAACCTATAGATTTAAATATAAAAGTATAACAATGGATTTCAATGTATGGAGTTTATTTAAATCCTGATGTAACAAACTGCAGAAACAGAAGGAATAAGGGAAGGGAAGAAAAGGAAGGTGAGAAGAGAGGGAAGGAAAGAGGATGGGGAGAAACAAACCAAGAAAACACAATTAGGAAAATTTGAATACTGACTGAACCTTTGACAATATTAAGAAACTCAATCATTGGGGGTGTTATTATTTTAAAAACTCTATCTTTTGAAGATACATACTAAAATATCTACAAATGAGAAGCTATGATACTCTGTATTTGCTCCAAAATAAATCAGTTGAGGTGGGGGAAAGAAAAAGGAGGGCAGGTGAAACAGTTGACATCTGATGAGACTGGCTCATGGACGAGTCATACACTTCTATTTTTTAATATGTTGGAAAGTTTTCATAATAAAGGATAAAAGGTATTATATCTAGATACACACAAAAATAAACGACATTTTCCTCATTGTAAACTACTTTGGACCTAAACTGGGAAATGTTTTAACGCTTATGAAGGTTATTTGAAAACCATCACCTGGAAAAAAGATGAAAAACGATTTATTGAAATGAAAATTTGAATACGTACAAGTAAAAATTTAAGGAAATGATCTAAAAATATGTAGTATGGTATTTAGAATGAGAGGTCAAATTACAGAGAAGTGGGGAACAACATTAAATGGCCTTGTTAAAAGCTTACTTTAACCTATGCCAATGATAGTTTAAGGAGAATGGGGGAGCTTTCAGGATCAGCCTTTTACTTGCTTTTTTTTTTTTTTAATAGTAGAAAGACAGGTTGGCTTTTCTAGGCTCCTTTCATTGTCCTGGACTCAAAAATTGAGAAGACGCTAGTCTCAACAAGACCACCAGGTGGTCAAGATAAAAATTTGAGAACCAGTATGAAGACAGGAAAATAAGAAATGTCATTTCATCCTTCACATTCTGCTTTTCAGGGAAAATAATTTATAAGAATGCAAAGGAATAATATGTGCTTTTCCAGTCCTTTTCCTCTTTAGTGAGAGTTTGAATTTTCTATTAAATTACTATTAACAGACTTTTAAAATAATAAAATATATTTGACTTCACATTACCAGTTTTCACATCGTCGGATGTCTCAAGGTGTGGCCTATAACGCGCAGAAAGAAAGCAGTACGTTTTATTTTCCGGTAATTGTTCGACTTTTTAAATAGTTTAACTGGTGGTTTATAAACTATGAACATTGATCGAGCCCCTAAATTTCATATGTGCACGTAACATTAAACTCACTGTAAAATCGCTAACGAGATATAGTCACCTGTCTTTGGATACTGTTTTGACTTTTAAGACACGAATTTACGGTTTCCGTCGGTTATTTGGATATTTTCTCAAGCAATGGCAGCTGAAAAGTACAGCGAGTAACATGCATAGTCTCCTAAATTTTGAGATGATGAAAAAGTGACCCTTGTTTTTAAAAACAAACTACCGCCTTAGGGGTTCCTCATATTTGGACATTCTTGTAACTTCACCCTGATCTCTTAATCAGAACAGAATCTCGTCTAGATTTGGGTATATTGTATCTGTGAAAACTAAAGCTCCTCTTGTGGCAGGTGTGGGGTGGCAAGTGGGGTCAAGGGGAGCGGTAAGGACCCCGCTGCGGGATAAGCGACAACTCCCAGAATTCCCTGGTGGAAGCTCCTAGGGGTTAGGATTCATTCTACGCTGTCCCTCCCTTCCTCCCACCATTAAAACACAGGTCCTTGGCTACCGCTCCTGATAAATAAAGCTCTGTTGTCTCAAGAGAATTTCTCCACCTCATCCTAGCTCCCCAGTTACCAACGCGCAAGGATAAACGCTTTAGAGAAGGGTGGGGCTAGGGGAGGAGCCAGGTGCATACACTGACCCGGAAGGAGTTACACGGAAGCGGAAGTGGCAGCGGGTGGGCCGGGCTAAAATGTAGCGAGCCGAGGAAGGTTCCGGTCTCCGTAAGGAAAGCTAACGGCCTTTTTCTTAGGTATTCACAATTCTTTTCAAAATCATAAAATGGATTTTGACTTTTCCCATTTACCCACTGTCGTGTCTCCATGCGGAACGTCTGAGTTACTCAGTGTGATTTGCACATGCTGCTTTTGCGCCGGCTTACTGTCACCTCTGACGTGCCAACACTGCTGTTGTGGGGGGAGCTGGAGAAGTCTTGTTCGTAGATGTAGTTGACCCTAGAGAGTAAACGCCTTGGTTTTTGCCCTTCAAATTAAGCTTCGTGAGCTTGAATATTATTTTGCTGTTATGATGGAAATTTTTAGCTGGAAGTACAGTAACAAAACCTGTCATTCTGTTCATTGTGAAGTGGATATATCATCTCCTTTGATTTGCTTGAAATTAGATGTAAAAATGTACAGAAACTTCTGCTAAAGAATGTTAAGTACGTAGCTGCTGGGTTTTGGTGCATTCTTCCACAGTCCATTCCCCAGACATGATTCCGTATGTGAGATCTGTCGAAAGAAGCCTGTGAACTTTGAATATTTAGAGAGCTTTCCCGATATTTTATTTCCTAAGCAAAAGTGCTAAATTAGCAGATTTAGAGGGATCAAATGAAAGCTAATATGAAATGCGTCTCCTAGCTGGAGATGGTACAGGTTGATTCTGACCTTTATTTCAACTTTGAACCTCAGAATTTTAGAGGCAAAGTAGCTTTCTTAGAGCACTATATTTTTCCTTTCTGATTTAGTAAAACCATTGCATACTTTTCTTAGCAATAATAGTTATATCTTTCAAATTTTCATACCCTTAATTCAAGATTCTGAATACTTTCCAGAAAATAGCTGATTTTACTCATTCCATTAATATATTTTTAAATTATTCTATTCTTTTGTTAATTATATATTTTGCATGCTATTTTATTTTAATATATTGTTATTCAGAGGTTTGAAAAATTCTGTGAATTACTGAATTTTGGCACTGGAGCTGGCTGTTCTAGTGAACCAAACAAGCTTTCTTTGAAGCGTCTAGCTTTATTATACTATACGTCTTTAAAGTCAATTTTTTTTTCAGATTGTGTTTGTTATATTTCAGATGCTGAGATGAATCACTACCTTTGCATTTGGCTTCTTAGACGTCCTTTCCTGAATGCTTATCTCCGGTGTCACATCTATGCCCAATTTCATCAATTTAAACAGCTACATTTTAAAACAAGGCTGCAGGTTCTTGGACATAACAAGAATCACATTCTGTGTTGTCTTCTAAAGAAGAATTGGTGCAGGAGATATTGTCATCAAGATACCAGTATGATGTGGAAGCATGAAGCATTTCAGAAATATATGAAAGAACTAAGTAAGGAGTACCAAACACTTAGTCAGTGTCTGCAGGACATCCCTGTGAATGAAGCAGACCGGAGGTCCAAGATCCGAAGGCATGCTGAATTGGCACCACTTGCAGCCATTTATCAAGAAATTCAGAAAGCTGAACAAGCAATTGAAGAGTTAGAATCAGTGTGCAAAAGTAGGTAAAAAATATGTGTGACTTTCTAAATTAAAGATTTATTGAACTCCATCTTTTAAAATGCCTACAACTAATAACCTCAACTCTTAACAAGAGCAGTACTGTTATACTTAAGGTGTTTAACATGTTTCAGCTCCTAAAGATTAACTACTCAGAAACCAGGCTTCTCACGGGACTCACCAAGAAGTCCATAGGCTTTGGAGGATTTGATGTTGACCTTAGCAGATTTTAATTTATTGAGCAGATCTATATTGAGCACTGTACTGCATACCAAGAATATGGAAATACAGTCCCTATCTATCACAGGGCTTGTGGCCAAGCAAGAGGGTATATTTAAATATTAAGAGTTTCAAGGGTGTGAATGGAAGCCTTTTAGATGAGATTTCACATTAAAGGAAGAACAAATGAAGCTTTATATTGCATGTGACATTTTTTTTTTTTTTTTTTTTTAAGAACAGAGGTTTATATAGGTCACAGTTTTGCGGCACTATGAACATGGCACCTATATCTGCTTGGCTCTGGGTGAGGTCCTCACAGCAGACGGTATCACATGGTAGAAGCTCGTGTGGCAGATCTTAACATTATTTAATACTTATTTTAATTTATAGTTTTAGATTATTTGGAATTGTATTTTTTAAAACTTTTTTCTTTTTAGTGCTGGAGATTGAACCAAGGGCTTTTTACATGCTAGGCAAATATTCTACCACTGAGTTACATGCCCAGCCCTTGGAATTTGTATGTTTAATGGCTTGAAGTATTTTCTAGGACAGTAAACAGATTTCTTAGACTCCATAGAATTATTTTAGTTTAGAAATCTAAGTATCTTTACTATTATTATAAGTCTTGCACAAAGCATCTCCACTCAGACAAGGCTCACATTCCTCAGAAGTTTACCCATTACCAAACAGGTATTCAGTAATTTTCAGATGCGTAGTCTTCAAAATATGAATATCTGGCCAGGTGTAGTGGTAGACACCTGTAATCCCAGGACTGAGGGAGCCTGAGGCAGAAGGATCACCTATCCTGCCTAAAAAATTTAGCAAGACCTCAATAAATAAAAAGGGGTGGGATATAGCTAAGTAGTAGACTGCCCCTCGGTACAATTCTATTCTTTCCACTTTTTTTTTTTTTTTTGAGAGCCATAAAGAGGCATTTTAGACAGAATTGACAGTATACACTCAGAGTGTGGGCTCTCAGAGAGGCACATCATAATCTGGAGGTGGGAATGTTTTTCTTTTTGGAGGGGGTGGAAACTTGTGGAATTTGTGAATGTATAGGAAATTTCATCTTTTGGTGGGGGTTACCGAGGATTGAACTCAGGCCCTTATGCTTGCTGGGCAGACGGTGAAACCACTGAGCCAAATCCCTGGCCCAGAAATTTTATCTTAGTTTACAGGGGGAAAGTAGTGTACTGTTTTTGGTTTTGTTTTTTTAGGATAGGGAATCTAAGATATTTTACCTAAAAACATTCTTTGAAACCTTTGAATCTGTTTCTCTATCTTAAAGTCAGGTTTCTGCCCTTTATCTTATGAATTACACTAATTTTGGACTTAAAGTATTTTAAAGGAGTTTTAGATGTAGTGAATCTGGAAGAAAAGAACTGTAATCAAGCCTAGGAAGTATAAAAATGGGTAACCTTGGGTAATTTTGATTGTATCCTAAAGCTGCAGTCTTCTTAAAAGTATAGATTTGAAATTATGATTTTCTTTGTCTCCTTTTCTACTTATCTTTATTTTTTCCATTAACCCCCCCATCCCTTATTCTTTAGGGATGCAGAGGGGCTGAAGGTTCATATTTTTATAGCTGCCTCAGGCTGAGAAGCGGCATTAACCCTGCCCCACCAGGGATTGAAAAGACTCATTCTGACTGATGTGAAGGAGATACAGGGATGTAGGGTTCTTGTTGTTTGAAGAACTATTATATTTTGAGCGCTCCTTTTATTTATCATGCTCAGTATTAGGAGTCCGTTACCTTCTGTCTTTTCTGTGTGATGGCCTATCATTTTATTGTTGTTTTAAATGTGAATTTTTTAATATGTGGCTTTTATGTTATTTGTTTGTTTGTTTATTTATTTATTATGGTTCTGGGGATTGAACGCAGGACTTTGTGTTTGTGAGGCAGGCAGTGATACCACTGAGCTAAATCTCCAGCCTTGGCCTATCGTTTTAATACTGTTAAGGTTGTCTATTAGAAGTTATATTTTAAAATCATAGTTCTGATGCCTCTTTACCTCCTGGAACTAGCTTGCCAAAGGGAATGTCACCATACAGAGTCTGAAGAGGTTCCTCAGAGTGGAAATGGAGAACAAGGACTGACCTCCCCCTGTGGGCAGATTATATGTTCACTGACTTCTGTTTTTTTTTTAACCAGGGATCTAACTCAGGACCTTGTGCTTGCAAAGCAGGCAGTGGCGCCAGTGAGCTAAATCTGACACAGAAAAAGACTTCTGACACAGAAAAAGAATTTTCAAAATATATCAATGAAGGCATAAAGAAGTTTATTAGGCAGAATTGAAAATACACACTCAAAAATTATATTGTGGGCCCTTAAGAGAGAGGCACCCCACTAATTTGTTCCTTCATTGCATCGCTGACCTCGATGATGACAATCAATTCCTAACTTCTAGTCTCACCTCCAAGCTTTCTAAGCTAGTCTTTTTTTGTTGTTTGTTTGTTTGTTTGATTTGTTGAGACAGTCTCACTCTGTAATTCAGGCTGGCCTTAAACTCACTATGTAGCCCCAGCTGGCTTTGAATTTATGATCCTCCTACCTCAGCCTCCCAACTGCTGGGACTACAGGTGTACAATACCACACTTGGCTTAGGACAGGTAGCTAAGACCCCTGCCTTAAATATATTATTCACCTCAGAAGTTTTCGGTAACTCCCACTGCCTACCACATAGATTTCTTTCTATGTTTGATGTTAAAAACCTCTGCTGAATTACTAACCTCTTTGCATGTTCTGCCTTTTAGTCACAATTGCCTTTCCCTGAACATATCCGTGCTTTCCCTCTCTTGAGTCTTCATTCACCAGTTTTACCTTGATAAAAGTCAGTACCCTTACACAGTTTGGCTTAGATATCATACTTTGGCTTCAATCTCTTTCTCAAAACAAGCATAGTTACTTTTCTGTGTTTTGTGTTGCGGTCCTTTGGGTAATTGTCTTAACCTCACTCCCTAACCCTGTTGAGTTATCTGTGGGGCAACATCAGCCTGTTTCCATTTGTGGCATGTATGCACAATGTGGCACCATTAGTGATATTACAATTCTGCAGCAGGTGATCCTCAATTACAATTAGTTTAGATAACATTTTAGGATTGAAGTCTCAGTTAGGGCCCCTTATTTCTGCCCCTTGACGCACTGGCACTGCTTTTATCATAGGTTGTAATTATGTGTATGTGCCCATCTTACGAAGCCTTGTGGGACCTGCAACCATGTCTTATTAATCATTGTGTTCTCAGCAGCTGGAAGAGTGTAGCACATAGTAAGTGGTAAATACTGTATGAAAAGCAGGAGTAAGGCACATAGTCCTACCAGACTAATTACTTCTCTGACCACAGAAAGTTTTTATAAAGCATCTTCTTTCCATTGTAACTATTATTCATTTCTGTTGTCTTCCATGTAATTACTAAGAATCAAAAATTTCTTCCTCAGTTTTCAGCTGTTATCACTGATGTATGCTAGTCTTCTAAAGCAGAGGAGTCAAAGATCACCATATTTAGCCACTGTATCATTATCTTACTCTGAAATTCCATGATTTAATTTTCTGCTTTTGAAAAGATGAACCAGGCATGGTGGCGCACGCCTGTAGTTCCAGCACTCCGGTGGCTGAGGCAGGAGGATTGCCACAAGTTCAAGGCCAGCCTGGGCTGCATAGTGAGTTCAAGGCCAGCCTAGAGAACTACTCAGTAAGACCTTGTCTTACAAACAAAGACAGAGAGAGAGAGATGAAAAGAACCATTGTTTCCATGAAGTACAGGTTATAAAAATGCATTTTGCTTGACCCACATAATGTGTTTAAAAATATGCTAGATATAAATGTATCAAGAGATTTCATGAGTTGTTTTTTCCTTACTGTTTTTGAGCAAGTAGAGGTTCTAATGATTTTGGAGCCACATCACAGGGTACTGACTCCATCTTGAAACAGGCAGTGCTCATCCCAATTTGCTGTAACACTTACCTTATTTGGTTTATATCTAACTATCCAGTTCTTTTTAAAAACTATGTGGTTAATCACCATTTCTATAATTACTTACAGACTTTCAAATATCAATGAGGGGAGGCAAAGGAAATGCTGCTTTTCACACTGAGTTGTTTGTACATACTTAGCAAATAAATACTTGTTAAGTGACATTCTTCAAATATTCTAATTATTCTTTTGTATTATCTCTGGCTTTCCAAACTAAAATGAAACAGTGAGTAAAGATGAGATGGCTATGTAAGACTTGCCCTGTAAATAATTAAAAACTGCCATAATTCCTGTTGCTGGTTTTTAGGTCTAAATAAACAAGATGAAAAGCAGTTTCAAGAGCTTGCATTAGAAGAAAGGCATACAATTGATCAAAAAATCAACACGCTGTACAGTGAGGTAGGTTTTAGAAGTAGACTAATTTCATTAGTGCTAATATGAAGGAATATTCTTCCTGGTAGACTGTATACTGGCTTATGAAGTGTTCCCTGGTGATAAGTAAATAGTGGCTTTGTGCAGTAATTTGCTACAGAATGAGGTTAAAGATCTTGTGATGCAGATGAATACAGCAAAGATTCCCAGTGCAAAATAAAAATTCAAAGCTGAATCTTTTACCTTGCCAGGCAAGAGGACATACACTGAAAAACAACTTCAGTTATCACAAAGAAGAGTCTGGAGTTTTTCAGTGATAGGAGGGGATGGGCTAGATTTGTGGTGATTGTGCTAATTAAGGATTGAAAATTTGCACTTTGGATAGAATGGAATGAACCCAGGAGTGTATAGACAGTTAACACAAGTCCTAATTAGGTCTAGTAAGGCTTTAGCATACTGGGGTTTCTCAAAGTCCATGATACTCTGTTAGTACCAGCTGATATTTCCCAGGTAAGCAAAACTTTTTCCTTCAGTAGTGGTCTCTTCTAGCTCAGTGGATGATTTGTCTACAAAGACAGTGAAGAACATAGTACCACATATACCATGTTTTCTTCTGTTGTATTTGCCATCACCCTGCCTTCAAATTCCACACTGTGGGAATCCAGGAAGGGGGCTTTTTGAGAGGAATAGAGATGTAAAGTACAGGTTATCAGTATCAAAGTTTAATCAAAGGCAAAAGTAAGATATCTGACTCTTAATCAATATTCTCTTCTACAGACTGTAGCATTTTAAACAGATGGAATATTTCCCAAATTGGCAGTAGGGAGAGTAATGACACATAAGTACTTTTAGTTTGATTTGAAAGACCTTTTAATAATGAGAAAATGACTTCCCTTTTCTAAGAGGAAAGTTGATTCTGTTCTTTACAAGGAATCCCCTTTATTGGCTGAGAAACTATTTCTGCCTTTTCTTGGGAGTCCTCAACAGAGTCTTTAAACAGAGTAACCCCACTAAAAAGGCAAGGCATAGCACATCTCTCATCATTTGTAGCAGAGAAAATACATAATTATATGTCTAAAGTGTTCATTTCTTTCAAATGAAAATTTTCAAAGCTTCATTTGATGAAAGGAGCTACTGTTCATTATAAGTGGCAAAATCTGAAGAAAATTGAACAGAACTTTGATCTAAACTTCATTTTAGAAAATTAAGATAAGCTCAGCATTGTAGAAAATATCCAGACAAATAACTTCATTGTTGACATGAAATGATCTATTTTAGTGTAATGAGTTCTACTTATAGTATTTTAAGACTAACCTCACTGATAATCTCTGTAATTTTGTACATTACTGATTTTTAAAAAATGCTTTCAGGGCTTTTTTGTAAGCTCAATTAACAATAACATACCAAGGAAAATCTACACACCATTGAGGCCTTTTATTTAAGTTCAAGTAATGAGAGCATACCAAGGAAAATCTGTATATCTAAGCTTTTTTTTTTCTTCTCATCCAGCTTTTTCAGAGTCTGTTGCCCAAGGAAAAATATGACAAAAATGATGTTATTTTAGAAGTGACATCTGGAAGAACTACTGGAGGTAGGTAATATAATTTTATTGTAACTTATTTAAAAGTTACTAAAAAAAAAAAGAAAGTTACTCACATGTAACCTTGATTTGACTTACTGTAACTTTAAAAGTCCATTAGATGTGTTTGTCTTGAGAAATGGTCTTCATTTCCTAAGGGACTTGTATTCAAAGATGGCTTTCTTTGAAATTTGTGCTGACTGAATGTTTTATGTCTTTTAGGTGATATCTGCCAACAGTTTACCCGAGAAATATTTGACATGTACCAGAATTACTCATGCTATAAGCACTGGAAATTTGAACTTCTAAATTATACACCAGCAGATTATGGTAGGCATGTTTGAAGATTTTTATACATAGAAGATGCCGAAAATTCTTTTATCTCAATCTATATTAGGACTATATCGTCCCATTTATTTGTTTGTTTGATTGATTATTTGTTGGCTTTTTGTGACAAGGTCTTGCTTCAAGACTGGCCTTGAACTTACTATGTAGCCATGATGGTTATAAACTCATGGCAGTCCTCCTACCTCAGCCTCCCAAGTGCTAGGATTACAGGAATGTGCCATCAAGCCTTGCCGCTCCATTCTTAAAACCATTTGGTATTATATTTATTAAACACCATGACATAGGTTTATCAATCACAGTGGCTTACTATAGCAGGGTTCTTACCTGAGAGGAGAAAGCAGGAAGGAGAGACACATCTTCCTAAGAAGGAATATCTGATATATTAAAGTCTTTTACTCTGCTAGAACTTTATCATTTATGTAGTCCAACCAGAAAATTTATCAATTTGATTAAGTAGCCAATAATATATTAGATTTGTATGGGAATGTAAAAAAGGGTTATCATTTGTCTCTGTGTTCAAAAATGTTCACTGAAATTGAACTAATAAAACTTATACAATATAAAAATTGACAAACAATATAAGACCTTACACCTTTAAACGCACAAATGTGAGCCAGGCACACTGGGCATACCTATAATACCAGCACTTGGGGGGCTGAGGCAGTAGGTTTAGAATTTTAAGTCCTACTTGAGCAACTTAGCAAGACTGTCTCAAAATAAAAAATGGAAAGGGTTGGGGATGTATCTCAATGGTACGACATACCTAGATTTGACCCATTGTACCACAAAAATAAATACAGGCCCAGAACAGAAGCCCTGCCAGCCTACTGGGCCCTCCTCCTGATCTGTCCTGGCCTCAACTCCCCCACCTCCTACCCCAAAGTGGGTGAAGGTTCTGGTAGCACGGCACTACAGCTGGGGCAGCAGAGCAAAACTGACAGAAGGACTCCTGATGGACCATGGCAGACAAGCCAAGGCCTAACAGCTGACAGCTTTGGTGTCGTGTACTTGGTGTTTGAGGGCACCCTCTGGACACTGTCAAGGTCCGACTGCAGACACAGCCACCGAGTTTGCCTGGACAGCCTCCCATGTACTCTGGGACCATTGACTGCTTCCGGAAGACTTTTACTAGAGAAGGCATCCTAGTGGTATGGCTGCCCCTATCACTGGGGTCACCCCCATGTTTGCTGTGTACTTCTTTGGGTTTGGTCTAGGGAAGAATCTACAGCAGAAATTTCCAGAGGATGTGCGCAGCTACTCCCAAGTATTTGCTGCTGGGGTATTTTCTGGTGTATTTACGATAGGAATCCTGACCCCTAGTGAATGGATCAAGTGCTTATTACAGATTCAGGCTTCTTCAGGAGAAACCAAGTACAATGGAACCTTGGATTGTGCAAAAATCTGGGAATCCAAGGCATCTACAAAGGCACTGTGCTCTCTCTTATGAGCGATGTTCCAGCCAGTGGGATACATTTCGTGACATACAAATGGCCACAAAAAAAATACAGTACAGAGGGAAAGAATGTCTGTAAACTCAGTGCTCCTCAAATCCTAGTAGCTGGAGGAACTACAGTGTTCTTCAACTGGGCTGTGGTGATCCCTCCAGATGTGTTCAAATCCCGCTTCCAGACTGCACCTCCTGGAAAATACCCTAAGGTTTCAGAGATGTGCTGAGAGAGCTGATCCAGAATGAAGGAATCACATCCAAGGAAGGAACAACCTGAACAGTACTGTGGTGGTAGGAAGCATCTTGGTATGTGGGTGGCACACTAAAGAGGCCGGTTTGCTGATGCCGTATTTGCAATGTGATGTGGATTTTGAACAACTTTTTTTTTTCCCCTTTTAGAGACAAACTCATGTAGTTCAGGCTGACCTTGAACTCACTGTGTAATCCAGGCTGGCCTCAAACTCATGACAGTTCTCCTGATTCAGCTTTACAAGTGCTGGGATTTCAGGCATGTGCCATCTCACCTGACTGAGTAACTTTGAAAATTGAATTAATCTTGACTGATAAGGGATAGGGAGCTATTAAAAGATTTTATCAGTCTGATTATAATTTGACAAAATATACATTTTTTTTTTCAGTTTTTTTGAGATAGGGTCTCACTATGTAGTTGAGACTGACCTGGAACTCACTATGTAGCCCAGGCTGGTCTTGAACTCACAGTGATCCTCCTGCCTCAGCCTCCCAAGTGTTGGGATTACAGGCATGTGTCACCATGCCCAGAGATAAAATATATATTTTAAGAAGATTCTTTTGCCAATAGTTTAAAAAATGGATCAAAGAGGGCTGGGGATTTATCTCAGTGGTGCCGCTTCCTGCCTCACAAGTGCAAGGTCCCAAGTTCAATCCCCGGTACGAAAAAAAAGATTAAAGAGGCTAGGTTTAAGGCAGCCTGCAAAGAGGTCTTTGAAGTAATCCAGAACTTCCATGTGAGAGACTTTAAAAGGATACATGGACAAACTGACTGGGTATAAGAGGGGCTGTTGCTTGTTCAGTATGTTCTGTGTATACAACCTCTTGGTGCTGTGGTCCTCACAATCCTATGAGCTAGATATTATTAATCTCGTTGTACAGATCTAGGCTCAGAGAGTAACTAATCCAGGATCACACACAGTAAGTAACAACAGTCCTCTTACTACAGTTAATTCTGTCTGATCCACAGCTACCTTGCATCCCATTAATCTGTTTTGACACAGGAGGTGAGCTGCCCCAAGGTACTAATCTTCTTATCTGGGCGATTGTGATTCTTGTCCATATCACTAAGTGGAACAGATGTTTGGAACCAGAGCCCATTTGGAAAGCATAATGATGAGGTATTTTTGGCTTTTGTTATTGTTATTATTGTTAGTGCTAGGCATCAAACTTAAGGCCTTGTAAATGCTAGGCAAGTGTTCTTTCACTGAGCTACATTCCCAGCTCCTGATGAAAGTTTTTTAAGTTGTTTGAGGTTATAGCAAGTAGCATGAAGAAATATCCAGTAAATACTGAAGTTGTATAACCTTTGTGAGAGAACAGACAGAATTTAGGAGAGATGTTTGATGGATATCAGCACAGAATGGCTGTCTGATTCTCAGAGAATATGTAATGAAGAGTCTGTTGAGAGGGACATTCAGGCACTAAGCCTTGGAAATGGTCAGATTTAGAAAGAGAATGATTGATAAAGAGGATGCATACATGTAGGAAAAGGATAAGGACAATATACTATTATGGAAGCAAAAGAGGAGGAAGTTTCAAAGAAAATTTAATCAGAAATGGCAGTATTCCAAAGAGACTAAGGACATAGAAAGAGTGAAGGTGTGCTATGTACATATATCAACTCCTCACAATGCATCTAATCATTATGTACTGCAGACATGTACTAGTAAAAATAAATATTAAAAGGAAAAGATACAGAACAAAAATAAAACCATCATAGATCTAAAAAAATAAAATAAAGAATACGGGGGAGTTTGATCCCCAGTACAAAAAAAAGAGAGAGAATACTGGGAAGTGCCATCAGTGACGTCTGGGATATTTTGAATAGAACTTTCAGAAATAAAGGGATATGAACTTAATACCAGGAAGAAAGATTCTGTCCCAGGTATTTGGAACAGCCTAAACAATGGTTGGAAAACACTGGCTCACTGATGAAGTAAAATAAAGATATTGTTAAACATCCTTTTAAAAAAAGCACTTAAAATATTTCACTCAAATACCTTTAAAATTAGAATAATTAAATAATTAGAATAAACTATTGAAATTATAAAGTATTTTTTAAAATTGACATTATTATAATTAGTTAAGAGAAGAAAAGATCTAGGTAGGGAAAGATTAAAATAGAGAAAAGAAACAAAACAACCCATCTTATAAAATATATACATATATTACAGACAAAACAAAAAACAACAAAAGAATCTACCTTGTAAAATATACATATAATTAAACATTAAATATATATATATATAATAAATATACAGATATTAAATCCTGTATATTATTTGTTGTTGTTTTTAAAAAATGTTCAATTAAAATACAGAGGAACTTATAGTTATCTACAGAGATTCATGCTACTCTAAAAGCTGAAGTTTAAGAGAAACAATATAATGCAAAAATTCATATATTATTAGCTTTTAAAATCATAATTTTGTGTACATCAACAGTCCAAACTAAGTAATTGTAAGATAGTCTTTGTGGAAATAGGAGGATGTAATGGCCCTTCTTATGTAGTACAGGTCTGACACTGTTTTTCTGAAGCTGGTATCTAATGAATTGAAATGTTTTCCAAATTAAAGGGATGCTGTGAAATATATTTCAATATCTCTTCCTCCTCCAACAAATTAATGTTTGTAATTTTGTGCTGTTAATCTCTACTTGTCAGTTGAATATTCAAGGAGAGTTTACTTAAATAGTTATGATTAATTGATGTGTCCAGAAGACATACCTTTCACTAAGACTGTGAGAAATAAATTTTGAAGGAAGCCTTAACATCATTGAAGAGCCTCGTGATCACTCTTCTCTATAAATGAGAGCTTACAGTAGGAATTTTGGTCATTCATTGGGAAACCTATAAGCAGTAGAAATAGATACCTGAATAGTAGGAACCAGATGGCGCTCAACTACAAAAGACAATGTGGGTACAGTTACAGGACAGCACAGACAAAGAAACAATCAGAATAATCCGTCTCATGTAGATTTATATCACTGATCAGTGTTCCTACAAGTAAAATAGTAGGAAACCTACTGAATTCTTTCTTGATCTGTACAAGAGAAAAATTCTAGCTCAAATTAACAAAAGTCTATCTTGAATTATAGAAGCAGAGATTTTATGGATCCTCAATCAATTCCCAGACTTGAACAAGTTTACAAGTCCAAAGCCCCGTGAATGAAGAGAGGATGAGTCCCCCTGAAGAAAGACCCTTGTACACTCCCAAAATGTGTATAATTATTAAGCTTTCTCTTAGTCTTCCCAAAGGGAGCGGCAGCATTTTAACAGGGGAACTGTGCACTGGGAAGGGAGAAATAATAAAATCCTTCAGAGACTACTGGACACTGGCTCTGAAACAACACTTATCCCAGGCAATCACAGGAATTTACAATGCCACAATGTTTGTTTGTTTGTTTGTTTTCTTGCTGGGTTTTAACTTGGAACCTTCTGCTTACAAGGCAGGCAACAAAACCACTGAGCTAAATCCCCAGGCCATGCCATGTTTTTGCAGTATGCCTTTCTTTTGGATGGCATGAGCAGTAGCATTCACCATGCTTTGATCACACCTCACAGAGACATAAAAAAGACTTCCAGGACTGCTTCAGAAAGTGGCAGGAACAATGGGATAAGTGTGTTCAAAACAAGGGAGAGGATTTGGGGGGATTAATGACAATGTATCTTTCACTGTAAAAATTTTAAAATTTAAACATTCACTGTATATTTTGACCGTACCTTATAAGAGTGATTTCTTGTGGCAAGAAACGTTTCAGATGAACCTGGAGGATCTTGTTATATTACTATAGTAAGGGGCATGTCACATGAACTCAGAAGTGGAAGAGGCTCACATTGGCTAATAATGAGCCTCAATAATAATAATTGCAACTGATTTAAACATGCCAGATGAGTTTACACCCTTGAATTCATAATAATATTTTTAAAAATAATTGGTCATCTTCAGTGTATTAAAAGGACCCAATTCTGGGCCAGGGATTTAGCTCAGTGGGACTGTGCCTGCCTTGCAAGCCCAAGGTCCTGATTGATCCCTGGTACCAAAAAAAAAAAAAAAAGGACCCAGTTCTTTCTACTACAAAAAGCAATATTGGTGTATATTCTTTAAAGGAATAGAATCAGTCATTTATCGTGCTTTTCCAATGTGATTCCATCACTGGGTAATCAAATAGTAGAGAAAGGGAACTAGACATTTCTGTAAATGTATTTTAATTAATAAATGGGCATGAAATATAGTTAAAGTATTTGAATCCCCAGTGATGTATTAAGCATCAGAGGTAGCCAGGACCATTACATGAGAGATATCCAGACATCACATGTCTCCTGTAATCTTGCCAAAGTGCTCCAGTGGATGTCCAATCCAACCTCTGGGCCAAGCTGCCAAATTATATCCAGTATAGAGGATAGCAGAACAGGTTAAAGAGCACTAAGAGTATGCAACCAGCAAAACCAGACTGTCAGAAATTCTACACGTCTATAGTCCATGTTAATTTGTAGGAAATGAAAGAAATGGATGATGAACATATGGAATGAGAGATGTAATGGGAGGGAGGCTGGAGTTGAACCCAGAACCTCAAGTATGCTAAGCACAAACTACCACTGAGATATATCCCAATTTCTTTTAAGTGGACAAGACTAAATTATAATGCCTAGGGGTACACATTTAGGAAACACAGTTATAATAAGAGAAAAAATAAAAGTCGAGCGTTGCTTACATATGGGGAAGGAGGGGTGAGGATTATCACTGGAAAGGACATATGAGGTGACCATCAAAGTTCTTTTTTTTTTTTGCAGTATCAGGGAGGAGACAGGCATGTGGCACTGAGCTTAATCCCTGGTCCCAAATTCTTTTTCTTGACCTAAGTGGTGGTTATTAAGCCATATACTTGATTTGATGCTTGCGGTTTTTTGTATCTGAAAATTAATTGTATCACAAAGAAGAGTTTTTAAAGGCATGTTACAGTGTATAAGAAGCTGAGCCTACCTGGGTATTAAGATTTTTTTGTGGATAATTTCCCCATCCAACAGAGAAGCAAATGTAACTTTCAAGAAATTCATAAAAACTTGAGCTGAGCATGTTGGTACCGGTCTATAATCCCAGTGATTTAGAAGGCTAAGGCAGGAAGATGGCAAAGTTGTGGCTAGCCTGGGATAATTATGAAGATGTTATCTTAAAATAAAATTTTGAAAGTTCTAGGAATGTATGTAACTCAGGACTTGCCTCTGTGCACAAAGCCTGGTGTTCAGTCGTTCAATCCCCAGCACCATATGCACCCATAAAAAACTTGGAAAGGCCTATAGAATTATTCAAAATTATTAAATTTTTATGTTACTGCTGCATGTTCTTTTATATATGACACCATATTAGCCCAAGATTGCAGAGGTAGTTCACGAAATGTCCCAGTATATTTTTCCAGTGGTCTTTTTGTCTTACTGTAATAGTAAAACTTGCTTATTATAGAAAACTTACAAACAAAAATAAACATGAAAGCCAGGCATTGTGGCACATGTCTGTATCCCAGCATTGACTGGGGAGGCTGAGGCAGGAGGATCATTGTGAATTTGAGGCCAGCCAGGGTTACATAGTTCAAGGCCAGCCTGAACTACATAGCAAGACACTGTCTTAATATACAAAACAAAACCAAAAATCTGTTACTCTGTTCCCCAGAGATAGCCATAAATAGTATTTTGTTATATTTCCTTTTATATATCAATATATTTACATTGGTAAAATACAGTTTTATACTGACTTTATGTTCTTATCTCAGGTATTTTACTTATATTCAGTCCTTAGACAAAGGACATTTAGAATGCTGATCCCTCTCTAAGCTGGGCATGGTGGCACATGCCTGTAATCCCAGTACTTGGGAGGCTAAGGCAGGACCAGCCTGGGCTACATAATGAGTTCCAGGTCAGTCTCAACCCTGCCTCAAAAACAAACAAACAAACAAAAAAAGAATGCTGATCCCTCTCAAAGTAGAATTCCTTAATTTATCTTTTTTTTTTTCCTGTACTAGGGATTGAATCCAAGGTCTTTATATTGAGCTTCATCCCCAACTTTTTATTTAAATCAAGGTGTGTAAGCCAAGCTGTGCTCAAACTTACAGTCTTCCTGCCTCTTCCAGACTGCTGGAATTACAGGCGTGCTACCACCATGGTTAGCTTGTTGATATTTCAGAATTTTTTTGTAGGTGGACTACATCATGCAGCTGCCCGAATTTCTGGCGAGAACGTCTACAAGCATTTGAAGTATGAAGGTGGGATCCACCGAGTTCAGCGAATCCCTGAGGTGGGCCTGTCATCAAGAATGCAGCGTATTCACACAGGAACTATGTCAGTCATTGTCCTTCCTCAGCCAGATGAGGTAACTCCACCCAGAGGCATTGAAAACACACTCCATGTATATGGGTACCGTGCTGAGAAGATTTAGCTTCTAGGAAAACCTGGCCGTTTTGTGTTTAAAAGTTGCCCCCCCTTCCTCTTTTTTCATGTTTTTGGTTTCTTGAGAGAAGGTCTTGCCTTTGTGGTGCAGGCTGGCCTTAAACTCACTTTGTAGTGTTGTGCCCAAGTTGTGAAATCCCCAAGAAGACCACCAGGAAACTCTTCTGATGTAAATACACGAGGAGTTTATTGCAAGCTCCAGCTTGGACTCCCAGTGTCACCAACATAGTGGCTTCAAACTGGAAGTCCTGACCCACTAAATTAGCCTATTTTTATAGGGTTTGGGTGGCTTGAAATTCTCTTTACTCTATTGGCTTTTTTTTTTACAATTTCTGCTGATCCTATTGGCCTATAATTCTAACTTACTATTGGATATTACAAGATGTAATACTTCAAACTTATTGGCTACTATTTGGGCACGGGCAGGGGTTTGCCCGGGAGATTTATCTTAGTCATCTAACTGCCACAGCCGGTTTTGCCATACTTTGAACTGGCTGCATTTTCTGGAATAAACCGCCCAGTTGCGATTCCTGGAAACTGCTCAGTGGCAATTCCTGAAAAACCTGGTTTTCGGTTAATCTATTCTGCGGCAATGGAAGGCTGTCTGCAGTTTAAATGTCAGCCCGAATAATGGAGCGTCTAATCTGGCTTAGCTAAAGTGAAGGGACTTTGGCCTCTTTTCGGTTTCTCAGTAGCTCAGGCTGGCCAGTTATCTTCCAGCCTCAGCCTCCCAAGTATTCTGATTATAGGCAAGCACCACCACACCCAACTGTCCCTTCTATTCTTAAGACGTCTTTGTCTTTTTTTGGTTGTGGGGCTCAAACTCAGGACCTTGCGCCTGCCAGGCAGGCGGCAGAACCACTGAGCTAAATCCCCAGCCCTCTTGTTTTCTTTTGTTTAAAATGTAAATCACTTCTTTCAAAAAACCGAATTCATACAGGTTTTTTTGTTTGTTTGTTTGTTTGTTTGTTTTTGGTACCGGACATCAAAATGGGGACCTTGCATTTGCAAGGCAGGAGGCAGAACCACTGAGCTAAATCCCCAGCCCGATGTACATTCTTTTTATTTCCTCTTCCCTCCTCTTTCTTTCACCCTCTATTTATCCCTTGGTCTCCTTCCTTTATGCTAAAGATCCTAAAGATCTATCTTTTATCTTAAGAAAAAAATGAATTCCATTTCAATGAATAGATACTATTTCAAAGTCAAAAGGGTTCTCTGTATCTTGCTGGGTGAATACAGCCATTTTCACTATATTTTTCTTTGTTGACCTTTTAGGTTTTTAAAAATACAGAAAGTTGAAAGAATACCACAATAAAGACTTATGACCTTAACCTGGAATCAGCAGTTGTTTATGTCTTTAAATTTGCTTAATTTCTATATATTGTGTGTGTGTGTGTGTGTGTGTGTGTGTCTATGGTATAACATTAGACTTTACTCCTTAAATCTTCCACAAACATCTCCCGAGAATAAGGATCTTCTATGTAAATATATCATTATCCATGAACGTTGACCATAATAATTGTACAGTACTATCTAATATGTTGTCCATTTTACAGTTTCTCCCAATCAATCTAAAAGTATTTTCACAGCTATTTTTTAACTAGGATTCAGTTAAGTTTTACACGTTGCAATTGTTATAGCTCTTTAAGTCTGTAATTGTCTCCCAACTTTTTCTTTAATTACATTGTCTTTTGTGTTTGTGTTTGTGTGAGTGTGGTTTTGTTGTTGTTGTGATACTAGAGATTGAACCTAGGACCTCTGCACTGAGCTACACCCCAGCCTTTTTGTTTGTTTTGTTTTGCTTTTTTGTTGTTGTTGTTGAGACATGGTATCACTATATAGTTCAGGCCGGCCTTGAACTCTTGAAGTAACTGTCTTCTTGCCTCAGTCTCCTGAGTGTTAGGACTACAGATATGTACCACCATGCCTGGCCTCAGCCCGTTGTTTAATTTTATTTTGAAACAAGGTCTTACGAAGTTGCCCAGGATGGGCTCAAACTTGCAGTCCTTGTGCTTCTGACTCCCTGAATGCTGGGGTTACAGAACTGTGCTACCACCCTCAGCTCAATTTATAGCTTTTGAGCAAGTATTAGAGTCATGTTGCATCTGGAGGCATATAATGTCACATTGTCCCACCTTTCATGATGCATAGTTTGAGCATTTGGTTAGGATGGTGACCAAGAATCAACATTGTAAGGTGTATTTTCCCTTTTGCAAATGTTAAGTAATCTCAAGAGTACACATCCTATTCCCAACAACCTTCCATCCATGGTTTTAACATTCATTGGGGATCCTCCCCATTAATCATCTATTTAGTTTGGGATTTCAAAGGGGTGATTTTCTATCATTCTTTCTACATTTATCAACTGTTATTCTTCTGTAAAGTACTGCTCTCCTTATTGCCTTCTATTCCCTCCCTGATACACTTTCTCTTTTACTTGATGTCATTATAAAGTCATATTAAGTTTTATATACTGACTTTATTATAGACTCATAGATTTATGTTTTAATCCAATGAGTTATAATCATTATTTTTTCTGATGCTCAAATTGTTCCAAACTTGCCTTTTAGGGTGACCTCTCTCCTTTGCCATCATCAATATTTGATTCTTGCTCTCTGGAATAATTAGCTACCCCAGGCCCATTTTGTATACGTCTATCTCAAACCTGGAGCCAGCCAGTCTCAGAACTTTTCTCACAGTCTGGAGTCAGTGGGAACGTACCAAGAAATGAGGATTTGGGTATTAAGTGTGCTTGTTATTACTAGAGTATCCTTACTTTTTGATGAAGAAACATGTTTTAAAATTAGTTTCATATACCAATTCAAATTTAACATTACAGAGATTTTTCTCTTAATTTCTTGCATTTTGTATCTCTCTCCACATAGAGTAAAAAAATCTTACGATTAATGTATTTACTTGTTATTAGAATTATATAAAATATTTTAATTATAGTACCAACATTACTAATAGTAGATTATTGAGTAATGTCTAAGATTTTTGTCCACAGACTGTATCTCACCAAGAATGTAGTCAAGAGCACTCTTGACTAAAATAAAGAGTTTATGGTTCTCTCTTTGGTATAAGCTATTTCTACAAATACTCTAAATTGTTATTACTTGTCTTAACACAAAATCATTCATTTTATTTTTTTAAAAATCTCAGAGTAAATTTAATATTTTGTTTTGTTTTGTTTATTGCTACCAGAGAGCGAACTCAGGACCTTGCACTTGCAAGGCAGGCAGTGGAACCACTGAGCTAAATCCCAAGCCCAGAGTAAATTTAATGTTATAATATTCATGAAACTAGACTTGGTGGCACATGCCTGTCCTAGCACTCAACAGTTTAAGGCAGGAGAATTGCAGATTCAGGGTCAGCCTGCACTACCTAGAGAATTCAAGGCCAGCCTAGCCTCTATAATAAGACCTTGCCTCAAAAAAAATGATCCAATGAGTGTAAAATTGACTTGTGTTACATCCTTTATTCTAGGTAGATGTGAAAGTGGACCACAGGGATTTGCGTATAGATACATTTCGAGCCAAAGGAGCAGGAGGGCAGCATGTAAATACAACAGACAGTGCTGTCAGGCTTGTCCATATCCCCACGGGTAAGTGTGTCCCTTTGCTTTTGTACTTTTATCTTTTTTTTTTTTCACATATTCATCATTTGGAAAGAAGGAGCTCTATTAATGTCTGGTTCTTTCTACAGAACCCTAAATTGAAGCTGGGATTGTGGATCTGATATCCCTGTTGTGTTTGTTTATAGTCTCTTTCTTTTTGGAAATGGTGCGGATGGTGAGCAGATGTTTAGAGAAGCTGCTCAGATGTGCTGGACAGGGGTGAGCAGCCACGGGGTTCCAGCCCAGATGCAAATGGAACATAGAAGCAGTATGGGACACTGCCATTATGCCACTGCTGTTAATCTTCTGTCACCTTGTAGTGTACTGACTGCTAGTTGCAGTAGTCTAGTAGGCTTTGCTGTTATTTGAATTTTGATACACCATGAGACCATTCTGCAGTCCTTAAAGTGATGGGTTTATTTTATTTCTTTGAGACAGAGACTCACTATGCAGCTCAGGTTGGCTTTAATCCATTATGTAGCCCAGGCTGGCCTCAAACTCATGATTATACTCCTGCCTCAGCCTCCCCAGTGCTGGGATCACAGGCACACACTACCATGCCTGTGATATGTGCTGACGAGTGCATTATTAGTTTCATCATTGTGAGAAATTCCTAGGTGTTCACAAGCTAAGATATTATATCACTGGGTAATATAATTCTGTGGAATTATCATAGATGCAGCCTGTCATTCACCAAAATGTTATGTGTACATTTCTGTATTTCTAACATTTCTCAGATTAAACTGTTTTTTTTACTTTCTTTTCTTTTTTTGATTACTTTTTATATTACATATATGTGGGGTTTTTTGTTTTGTTTTGTTTTCTTCTGCTTTTTGGTAACAGTGATCAAACTTGGTTTTTATTTATTTATTTATTTGGTACCAGGGATCAAACTTGGGTCCTTGCGCTTGCGAGGCAGGCGGCAGAACCACTGAGCTAAATCCCTGCCCTAAACTCGGTTTTTAAAGTCCACTGCTAAACTTCTATACAAAAAAAGAGCAGCTCCATCGATCTCTATTTCTTCATTTGTCCTTCCTAAACCCTAAGTTTTTCTTTCCTAGAGGCAGTCTCATTAAGTTCGTTTAGCTATTCTCATAATTACATCAATATTTCTAAGTAACAGGCGTATAGTCTCTTCTGATCAATTAATGATAGAGATTATATATTGACTTCTTAATGTGGTAGATGAGCATTTTGGCTCTTTTGTCCCCTCTTTTCCACATGTTTATATTTTGCAAAATTAATCTTCACTGTTTTTATATGAATGGGCAGGTAAATATTTTTTGCTGCTAAGCCAAGTAGTATATAGTTTTCTTTCTCTAGCATTAATAATTATCTTATTTATTTTATTTTTTTATCTGGTACTGGAGATTGAACTCAGGACCTTGCACTTGTGAGGCAGGTGCAGCATCACTGAGCTAAATCCCCAGCTCGCTACCTTCTTGTTTTTTTTGCTGAATATCTTGTTTATTTTGTTTGTTTTGTTCTTTGAGACAGGATCTCTCTATGTTCCAGGCACACCTTGAACTTGCTATGTAGCTCAGACTGGTCTCAAACTCAGAATTCTCTTGCCTTGGCCTCCTGAGTACTGGAATTACAAGCATGTGCAACCACGTGTGGCTTATTTGCTTTCTTTTCTTTGATTCAAAGATTTTCTACATCTATGCTGTCTTTATAAAGAGAAATTAACATTTTTTTTTACAGGTCCAGAGCTTTCTAGACATTCCATCGTCTTGGTCCCAGCTGGACCAGTTACTCTCGAAGGCACTGCCAGAGGTTTTCCTGGTCACTTCATTTCTGTTCTGTATTACAACTTCCTGTCTCTTGGCTCCTATATCATCTCCCTTAGTTTACTGTCATTTTACTTAAGTTCATCTTTAAGTAGCTTCCTAAGAAAACCAAAATACAAACATTTTGAGGCTTCGTATACCTGAAAATAGCTTTGTTCTAACATCATACTTCATTGATCATGTACACTTGGTTGCCAGTCATTTTTACTCAGAACCCTTAAACCTTTTCCATTTGTTGTGTTGCTTTTAATCTGGACACTCATGTTTTTTCAGTTCTGAAATATTTTCTTCAATTTTTTTTTAATCCCCACTGCCTGATCCACATCCCCAGTACTTTTTATTTTTGAGACAGGGTCTTGTTAAGTGTCTAAGTGGCCCAGGCTGGGCTCAAATTTGTGATCCTCCTGCCTCAGCCTCCCAGAGTGCTGAGATTACACATACACAGCATTACATCTGACTTTTCAGTAGTTTTTGCTGAGCCTGCCTTACCATAAGATGCCCTCCACCATTGGAATGATGCAGCAATAAAGCCCTTATCCAGAATTGGGCTTCCAAACCTCCAAAACCCTTTGCAAAAATAAATCACTTCTTTTTTTCAGGAGTGGAGGGTAGGGTCCTAGATATCAAACCCAGGATTTCGCATGTCCTGGAAGCAGTTTATCAAATTATTTCTAAAACCTCAGTTCTGAGTGTGTATGTGTGTGTGTTGTGAAGAAAGGGAAAAGGCTGAGTGAGTATTCCTTGAGTAGGACAGGGACTGGAGTGGCACTGTAGAGAAGGTGGCATCAGTTTTGCGTTTGTTGAGCTGCAGAAATCCCTGGACAAGTTAAGAGAAAGAGGAAGAACCAAGATACATCATGTAAAGGTACAAGATCCCAGTGATGAATGTAACTGTACTGTATATGTAAAAAGTACCAATAAACTCAGTGAAAGAAAAGAAGAGAGAGAGAGAAAGAAGAACTCAGGGAATAAAACCAAGTGTAACATCATCTGCTGCTTTTATCCTTCTCATTTGAAATACTGTATCTCATTCATCTCTCAGAGTCTGTTAACATCAGTGTCTGAATTGTGCTAAATCTAAAATATTTTTAATCTTGTGTGATCTTTTTCTAATTAACCTTGCCTCTTTTTTATTTTTTCCCACAACATAGTCCCCAGCCTAGCCTTGAACTCATGATGTAGCCCAGGCTGGCCTCGAACTTGCAGTGTGATCCTCCTGCCCCAGCCTCCCAGTGCTGGGATTACAGGCATGCGCAAACACATCTGGCAACTTTCCTCTTTAAAGTGCCCCTTATTGTCTATTTAAAGCAGTTTTATGGAGGCTATAGTTTATTTTTTGTCTCTATTATTTTTCAGGGTTAGTAGTAGAATGCCAACAAGAACGATCACAGCTAAAAAATAAAGAAATAGCTTTGCGTGTGTTAAGAGCTAGACTCTACCAGCAGATTATTGAGAAAGACAAGTGTCAGCAACAAAGTGCTAGAAAACTTCAGGTAAGACTTATTATTTAGTGTAATAATTTATTCTATGAAAAAATCACCATTTCAGAGCTGGATGTGGTGGCATACACCTGTAATCCTAGCACTCAGGAGGCTGAGCAGGAAGGTGGCTGCAAGTTTGAGGCCAGGCTGTGTTACATAGTGAGTTCAAGGCCAACCTGGACTACAAAGCAACACGCTGTCTCAAAAAAAGAAAGAAAACAGAAAGATCACTCTTTTATTTTTATTTCTTTATTTAGAGACAGGGTCTCATTTTATGTAGCCCTGGCTGGCCTCAAACTTGGAGTGAGCCTCCCACATCCAGCTCCCAAAATGTTACCATTTTATGTAGAAGATAGAGTTTATTCCTAAATAAATGGAAATGTCTTAGAGAATAGGGGAATATATTTACTTGTAAATAAACAGTAATTTATATGCCTACGGACTGATGGATTATAATTGAATTTAGGCATGCCAGTATGCAAATGAGTAAATGAAACCTGGATAGACGAAATTATTTCCCAGTTGTTTTCCTCAAATGCTTACATTATAACTATCTTAAGAGAAAATTGCTTTTAAAGATAATCCAAGGCTAGATATAACGGCACATACTTGTGTGATCCCAGCACTCAGGATTCTGAGGCAGGAAGATCATGAATTTGCGACTAGCCTGGATTACATGGCTATTTCAAGGCCAGCCTGGATTACATATAGCAAGACTCTAGCTGAAAAAAAATAATTCTTTGGAAATTTAGATTTTCAGATATTTCATTTAAAGACTTACACTTTTATTGTAACTCTGTGGATCAAATATAAATGGTACTGAAAAACACAGGGACCCATGGCTGCTAGATGAGTGTCCAGAGATAAGGAATAGGAAGAAGACTGACTTGCACTGTATACCCTTTGGGACTTCTTGAATTTTCTACAATATACTACATTTATACTGTTACGTATTCAACATATATACATAAGTAGATAAATTCAATGTAAACTGAGTAAATGTCACTAAGTAAACAAAGCATTGAATTCTGAAAGTAAAATTTCTCTCAAGAGAATCTGGAAGAGAAATGAGAACTTGAGTAACTGTGCTTTGGTGTTATCTGCAGATGGGTGTGGCTCAATGAACCAAGTTTAGAAGAGTTTGTGGCCTTTTAAGTTAATGAATTACATAAATCTAAATAGTGCATTAAATTTTTTCATCTATATATGTCTGAGTCTTTCACATTTTTGTCTTTCTGGCTTTCGTTACCCACATTCTAACCTGCAGATAGCAAAAGTGGCAGGATAAATAATATGTTAGCACCCTGTGTGGTAATCCCGGATTGTCGAGCAACATCAGTGTATACATTTGCAGATGGGAAGGCTCAGTTACACTTCTGTAGCAAGTAAGCGATAAATATTAGGGATTCTGCCACATTTGAGCTAATAAAGGACATGGGGATTTACTTGCCATTTAACATTTTCACAGTAGAGGGTTCCACATAGTAATTTTTTTAATGCATATTTAAGATTGAGCTCATGCAAATTGTATGTATACAACCTTTAGGAGACTGAATTGAAGAGCCAGAAAAGATCACCCTACCTCTCAAATACCTGGCCACTTGACTAAACTGTTTTAGGACGGATTTCCAAGGCTTAGAACTATTTCTTCAGCCAATATGTGCAAGGGCTTTTATACAGAAGACATGATGCCTGGTCCCACCTCTGTTGCACTTACCACCTTAGAGGTCTTTGTAGGTGCCTACCTGCCCAAATCCTGGGGTTCTGGCCTAATTGATCTGGAGTGGAATCTGAGTTGGTAATGTGGTTCTTTGGAACAGTAGTTTCCAGGGGCCAGGGATGTAGCTCCACAGCACAGCCCCTGCCTGGCAGGCGTGAGGTCCTGAGTTCCATCCCCAGTACTCCCCCCAAAAAAAAGTAATTTCCAAACCTGACTGTCAGAATAGATGGCCTGGAGAAAGTTTTAGAAATCTGTAATTTAAAAAAATTTTCCTGATGATCAAGAGATTAGTTTCATTTCCCCAGTTTCGTACTGGCTTGCCTTACAGTTTATAAAAATGAATTCTAGAAATGTCTTTTTTTAATGTGAAAAAGTAAAGATGAGGGAATGGGGGAATGGATCAGTGATAAAAAGTACTTGCCTAGCAAATGCAAGACATTGTGTTGGATCTCCAACACCAGAAAAAAAGAAAAAGTAATAGGACTGAGAGAGAATGCTGAGTATATCATATATTAGGGAGATGGGGGAGATAAGTGGATTTAAAAGAATATAAGAAGCTGGGCATGGTGGCACACACCTGTAATCCCAGCACTCTGGAGTCTGAGGCAGGAGGATCACTGTGAGTCTGAGACCAGCCTGGGCTGCATAGTGAGTTCTAGGTCAGCCTCAACTACATACTGAGACCCTGTCTCAAAAGACCAAAAAAAAAAAAAAAAAAAAAAAAAAAAAGAATATAGGGCCAGGGATTTAGCTCAGTGGTTCCACCACCTGCCTCAAAAGTTTAAGGAACCAAGTTCAATCTCCAGTACCAAAAATAAAAAATAGATGAATGAATGAATGAATATAAATAATCATAGCATGAAGTGAACTGTGGAGTAACATGAAGAAAATTTCAAGTGCAAAAGGTTTCAAAGGAAGGATCAAATATATTTCAGTTACTGTAGCCACAAAGGTAGAGATGATAGAAAAGGCATATTCTATGAGTTGATTTTTTTTTTTTCCAGGACTCAGGATCAAAGGGGCATTTTATCACTGAGCTGTATCTTAAACCATTTTTTACTTTTTATTTTGAGACAGGGACCTGCTAAATTGTTTAGGCTGGCCTGGAACTTTTGATCCTCCTCAGTCATCCTCCTGAGTAGAAGGGATTATAGGCACATGCCACTGCACCCAGCAGAGATGATGTTTTAGCAGTTAGCAGGCATACACATAAAAATGATATGGTGTCATAGAAGCTTCTGTCATGTAATTTTGAAAAATAACATTCAGAAGATTTGCCGTGTTGGGAAGTACCTTGAACATATAGTTGTGTCTGCTTAGTAAACAAAAAAAGTACCAAAAAAAAACTTGCTTAGAAAACTGGGCCATAGGAACGTGAAACAAAGCAATACAATGAAAGTAGAAAAATGGAAGCTTTATCTGGAGATCCTTGCAGTAATGTAGGTGAAAGAACTGATAATAGAAGGGCAAAAAGCAGAATATAATAAAATATTCTTGGCCGGGCGTGGTAGCTCACACCTGTAATCCCAGCACTTGGGAGGCTGAGGCAGGAGGATCCCTGCAAGTTGGAGACCAGCCTGGGCTACATAGTGAGTTCCAGGTTAGTCTCATCAACATAGAGAGACCCTGTCTCAAAAAACCAAATTAATTAATTAATTAATTAAAAGATTCTTGATAACAATTGGAAATGGCAGTTAGGAAATGGGATGAATTGAAGGTAGTCTTTGTGCCAGTCTTTTTTTTGGGGGGGTTTTTTTGAGACAGGGTCTCACTATGTAGTTGAGGCTGACCTGGAGCTTACTATGTAGCCCAGGCTGGTCTTGAACTCACAGTGATCCTCCTGCCTCAGCCTCCTGAGTGCTGGGATTACAGGCGTGCGCCACCACTCCCGGCTTGTGCCAGAGTCTTTATTATCAAATCCTGGGATAGTAAACTCCATGAAATATTCTTTGAATACAGAATATCAGTTTCTGACATACTAGAAAACGGGGAAGAACTGATTGGGATAGAAAGAGAATTAATTTGATTTTGAAATGTAGAGTTTGAAATACTAAATAGACATTTATTCTCATTCTGATCTAAGCTCTACAAACCTTTAGTCTTTTTTTCCCTTTGGTAGTGTTGAGGATTGAACTGAAGGCTGTGGGAATGTTAACCATGTACCCTGCCACTGAGTTGACTCACTAGCTGCAAACTTGTAGTCTTAACATTAAATTCTACCTGCTTTTGTCTGGATCACTTTGTATATGTAACTTTTTAAAAAATGCTTAAACTGTTAAAATAGGAAAATCATTTACCAATACTTTTTCCATTGTGATGAAGGTAATTAAAATATAAATTGCTTTTTTTATTAAATAATTGAATTTATTGGTACACTTTAGGGATACAGTACAATTACATTCATTGTTGGGATTTTGTACCTCTATATGACAGGTCTTGGTTCTCATTAAATTGCTTTTTGTTATGGCACAGGTGGGAACCAGGGCCCAGTCAGAGAGAATTCGGACATATAATTTCACCCAGGATAGAGTCACTGACCACAGGATAGCATATGAAATTCGTGACATTAAGGTAATATCATTGACTATTCATAATGTACTTAAAAGCGAATTATAAAAGTGTGTACACCAGGGACATTTGAGAAGTCTGCCTGCTGTGGTGTGTATTCACTAGGTGTTAAAACTATGCCTAGGGGAGGAACCCTGTCAAAATAGTTTTAACATTAACCTACCTAAACCCCATCTAACCAGGACTCCTAATGTTAATAAATTAATGATGACGCACAAAAAAACTTCTCTTTTGGTGCCACTGAAGGGGAAAATGAACTGACTCCCATAAAGCACTAGGTGGAAAAGGCAGAAAATTTTTAGCCTTTTCCTTAGTTCATGTGATACTTGTTTTACTAGATTCTGTCCTATTCTATGCTCAGAAATAAAGTTTGAAGTGAAATGTCTTTTTAAAATAAGTTTATCAATTTCAGTGTATCTTACAACACTTCTTGCAAAGGAATATAACAGCCATGTTGCAAAGGAGGAAATGTTTGCTAACTTCTCTTTCCTCAGGAAACACACAGTGTTAACCAAACATGTTTGGCCATATTCTTTACAACATATCCCCCACCCCAATTTCAAGTGTGAAATTTAATAGTTTTGGTACTTTCACAGCTTTGTACAACCATCACCACAATCACTTTCAGGGCATTTTCATTACCCTAAGAGAAATTCCACCCCTGAGCCCTCATCCTTCAGCCCCCGAGCAACTACCTAGTCTGGACACTTTGTTTGTTTGTTTGTTTGTCTTTTTGATACTGTATAGTTCAAGCAGGCCTTGAACTCAATATATAGCCAAAATTGGCTTCAAACTCACAGCTGTCCTCCAGCCCCAGCCTCCTGAGTGCTGGGATTACAGGCATGTGCCACCAAGCCCAGCTTGGACATTTCATTTAAATAGAGTCAAATAATATGTATAGTCTTTGGTATCCAATTTCTGTTTTTGTTTGTTTTTTGGTACCAGGGATTGAATTTAAGACCTTGGGCTTGCGAAGGAGGCACACGCACCATTGAGCTAAATCCCTGGCCCCCATGTTTCCAATTTCTTTACACCATATTCTTTCAGTTGTTTTCAGTGGTGACACTCTTCCCTAAACAGTCACATTCTTAAGATCAGTAATATATTTTAGAAGGGCCTTTGGGCACATTTGTCTATTTCAGTTGTGAAACAGAGGCAAAGTAACTGGTTCTTATAACTATAACATATCTGATGTCAACCTAAATACTAATTATGTTGTTATTAATTAACATGACAGACTTAGAAATAATAAAGAAAATATAATAGTGTGTTCCAGTAATCACTAACCAGCCTATTGGAAGGAAGAAAAACGTTCCATATTAGCGAAAAGAAACAGTTTGAAAGTACCATGAAAAAAATGTAATAGTATAACATTAAAATCTGTTAAAGTGGTAAGCAGGAGGATGAGGGAGATGCTGATCAAAAAGTACAAAGTTTCAGTTAGGAGGAATGTATCCAGTGGTTTATTGCATCGAATAGTTAGTATAGTAAATGATGCACTGTATATTTTTAAATTACTGTAAGTATAATTTTAAATGTTTTCACCACAAAAATAATAATAAGTGTGTAAACTTATGGGTTTGTTGATTAGCCTGATTTGATCATTGCACATTATAGACATAGCAGAACATCATAGTGTATGTACAATTGTACAATATGTACAATTATTATTTGTTAATTAAAATAAAATTTTTAAAAATCTAGGCGGATATGGTGGCACATGTCTAATCCTAGCTACTTAAGAGGCTGAGGAAGGAAGATCACAAGCTCAAGGCCAGCCTGAGCAACACTTTGTCTCAAAATTTGAAAAGGGCTTTCCACCACCTGCCTTGCAAGCCCAAGATCCTAAATTCAATCCCTGTATAAAAAAAAAAAAGTTTGCCGGGGGCATGGTGGTTCATGCCTGTGATCCCAGCACTTGGGAGGCTGAGGCAGGAGGATTGCTGTGAGTTTGAGACTAGTCTGGGCTATATAGTAAGTTCCAGGTCAGTCTCACATAGTGAGACCCTGTCTCAAAAAACCCGAAAAACCCAAACAAACAAACAAATAAAATTAAAAGGGCTAGGTGTATAGCTCAGTGGCAGAGCACTTGTCTAATATGTACACAATTCTGGGTTTTATCTCCAGTACTGGAAGAAAAATCGGTGTGAAGAACAGTAAAGAGGCTAGCAGGAATAAATAATTTAGGAACTAGATTGTTGTAGATGAGATTAGAAAAGTAGTAAGGGCCATAGCAACAGGGCAATAGCTTTTGGACAGAGAAGAGGTCAATAGGAAGAAAGTAAGCATCTAGGGGACCTCCTGTGTTACCTGTTGTGCTTTTATATTATAGAACATTAATTAATCTTTTGTTGCTGTTGAAAATGACTGTAAAAAATTAAATACACAATAATTATTTGCGCTTTTTTAAAAATTTCTGACAACCAGGTGGTTTAGTCAGCTTTCTGTAACAAATAACTGAGATAAGTTACTTAAAAGGGGGAAGGTGTATTTTGGCTCATTTGTAGAGGTTTGACAAGGCAGGTTGGGAAATGCTGATTGGCTCCGTTTCTTTGGGCCTGTGGTGGCAGAGCACATCGTGGTGCAAGTGTGTGGCAAACTCACTTCACTCACTTCATAGCCTGGAAGGAAAAAGAGAGAGAAGCCAGTAACCTACAATCCCCTTCAAGCAAGCCCATCCACAGTGACCCATAGACCTCCAACTAGGCCTCATTTCCTGAAGGTCACCACTACCTTTCTTTTCTTTTCTTTTCTTTTCTTTTGATATCAGGGATCAAACTCAGGTCCTTGTGCTTGTGAGGCAGACAGCAGAACCACTGAGATAAATCCTTGGCCCACCACCACCTTTCAATAGTGCCAAGCTGAGCCGGCTGTGGTGGTGCGCGCATGTAATCCCAGCATGCGGGAGGCTGAGGCAGGAGGATCGCTGTGAGTTCAAGATCAGCCTGGGCTACATAGTGAGTTCCAGGTCAGTCTCAACTACATAGTGAAACCCTGTCTCAAAAAGCAAAACAAAAAAAATAGTACCAAGCTGAGGACTAAGCATTTAGCACATAGACCTTTGGGGGATGTTTTAGCTTAAAACTATAGCATAATGTCTCATAAAATCCTCTTTTACCAGGAATTTTTATGTGGTGAGAAGTGCCTGGATGAACTAATTGAGAGACTGCTTCAATCAGCAGATGAAGAAGCCATTGTTGAACTTTTGGATGAAAACCTTAAATCATCAAAATAAATCAGCTGATTTATTATTTATTATTATGTGAATGGAATGGGCCTATCAAGAAACAGACTAAGACATTGAAATCTTTATGAATATTCATAAATGAAGCTATAAATATATATATTTTAAAGAATCAAAGTCACATTTCTTGACTTGAGGATTTATTTTCTATTTTAATAAACAACCCAAATTGTTTATTATTTGAAATCCAGGCTGATTTCGAACTTGATGGCTTCCTGCCTCAATTTACTGAGTGCTGGGATATAGGCATATACTACTCCTTATAAATTAAACATTTTTCATTTACTATTTCAGGAAAATGTAAATTTTAGCGATGAAAGATTTAGACATTTAATTTGTAAATCCCTTGTTTAAAGATAGAGTACCATGGTACCTCAGTTCATGAACTTGATTCATCCCACAATTCTGGAAAAGATGGCCACATTTGTGTTCGTGCAGGAAAGATGGCCATGGATGTGTTCATCAACTGATTGAGAGTTCACAAACAAAATCAAAATTTTGCCATATGCTTATGTTTTCAAACCAAATCGTTCGCAAACAAAAGCATTCATGAAACAAGGTACCACTGTATAGGTACTATTAATCATGCCAGAGTTAAGACTGAGTATTACTTTTTAATAAAAAATAAAAATTGCAAAGACTAAAATAAAAAAGGGCTTAGAACTGTAAATATCTCTTGTTAACTCAAGCATCTCTCTCAAGGACCTGAGTCATTCCTTTGAAATATAATCACAAAGGACAGTTCCTCTGTCTCTCAGTGTCTATGGGCAGATAGCATCCTAACTTCGGTCACGGTCAGGTAACAGACATAGCTAACCTCATCACATTTACTCTGACCAAACATTTATATGATGTCATGTCACTGGCTTTACTGAATTACTTTATTCTTCTCTTCCTCATTTTCTTTTAAAATGCTCAGCTCGCTTCTGCAAAAATCCCAGTGGAGCTCAGCTCTTTCTTGTTGTCAGTAGTTACTTTTTACCTCTTTAGTGTTCATTTATCTGTGGGGTAACACTTTGACATCATATAAACAATGATTCCTTACTGCTGTAAACAACTTCTGAAATGGCCCTAGAGACCCTATTATTGGCATTCATGCTCTTGTGTAATCTCTTAAGTATGGACTAGAGGTGTCACTTTCCTCTAAGGAACAATACAACAGAGATGATTGGATTATCACTTCTCACATTGAGTTATTAAGAGATTATTGCTTCTACCTGGGCATGGTGGTGCACGCCTGTAATCCCAGCACTCGGGAGGCTGAGGCAGGGGATCACTGTGAGTTTGAGACCAGCCTGGGCTGCATAGTGAGTTCTAGGTCAGTCTCAACTACATAGTGAGACCCTGTCTCAAAAAAAAACAAAAAAAAAAAAAAAATTATTTTTAAAAAAAAAAAAAAAAAAAAAAGATTATTGCTTCTGTAGAAGGGTCTAAAGGGAAAAAGACAAAAGGGAAAGTGTTTCTTATTTAAAGGACACCCTAATGTGTCCATTTGCCCTGCTATAAACACATTGTGGTATTAGCCACGCTTCCCTTTACTCTTTCCTCTTTCTCTAGCTTTGTCTTTTTCTTAAAGCACATACTTTATTTAGAGGAAAAAAGAATAAAAAATTATGGAGCTGGGCTGGGGATTTAGCTCAGTGGTTCTGCCGCCTGCCTCGCAAGCACAGTTCCCAAGTTCGATCCCCGGCACCAAAAAACAAACAAAAAATTGTGGAGCTATGAACTTAAAAAAAATTCTTAGATTGTATATTTCCTCAAACCTCTATATATGTACAAATCATTTGTTGTAATCCTGATTTGAGATCCGTAGATTCTGTGTTTTTAATAAGCTCCCTGTTTATGACAGAGACTGCTGAAATACAGACAGTGCTTGAAGTAGCAAGGATCTAGGATGCCTGCTGTTCCGTTAGTGAGTGCTTCCATTGTTACACACTTTATGTTCATAGTGAGATTCATTTTAAGTCATAGTCCTGCTTCATTCAGCTAGTAGATCTTAGTCTGCCAGAGTGCAAAGATAAATGACATATTTTAGCTGTCAAACAGAAAAATGTTAGTAAATAACTGCAGAAACCAAGGCTATATTAGGATTCTTGTAAAAAATCTGGAAAGCAAGTTTATTGCCTCATACACATTCTCATGCATAGAATATCAAGGAATAAACTATTTCAAAACTATATGAACATATTTTAAAACTGAAGCTGAAATTGAGTCAAGTGAAATAGGATCAGTAAACTACTACCGACAGTCAAATTATTTTAGAAAGGACCTGATTCTCATATTGCAGCAAGGTGGGTGGGGTCAATAGTGATTAGTATCACTTGTATTGGGGCTGCAGGATGTGGAGCTTCTGGGAGGCTAGTAATGTTCTTTCTCCTGCTCTGAATGGTTATAAAAGTGTATTTTGTGAGAATGCATTGCATTTACTATGATTTATTCCCCTTACTATATGAATACTAAGGTTTTAAATAATAAAATTTCAATTTAAAAAGTACGTTAGGGCCAGGTGTAGTGGCACATACCTGTAATCTCATCACTCAGGAGGCTGAGGCAGTAGGATCACAATGAGTTTGAGTGAGCCTGTGTTACATAATGAGTTCAAGTTCACCCTGAGCTTAAATAGTGAGACCTTGTCTAAAAAAAAAAAAAAAGCTGCTACTGAATATTTGCAACAGAAGCCATGTCTGCAGGCAGCTCACCAGGCACCTTCCAGTTGAGGAAAAACGAACCCATTAACACTCTTATGGCAACTAATGACTGAAGACCTGGAATAATTTTGAATATAGAAATAAAGGCACGAACCTCTATATGCCCTATAATCAGAATAAAATAATGCATATGGGCCCAAGATGTAGAGCTAGCAGCACTTAATGGTGTTTCTGAAAGAGAATGGTAGAGAATGGTAACTGAATTGAGAGAAGGTGGTGGTATTGAGTCATATAAATGGCACCAAGGCTAACTTCTGAGATGGTAAGTGAGCAGGTGCTGTGTTCTCATGAATCTCTTTTTGAATCAACAGGTGTAAAGATCGCCATAAAGGCCAAACAGTGAAATACATTATACATTACAAAAACGGGTGGATGGGGTCTGGAAAGAGTGTCCCATTCTCTTGAACACCAACCTGAAGAAGCAGTGACACCTTCAAAAAACAATCAGAAGCTGGGCGTGCTGTCACACACCTGTAATCCCAGCACTCAGGAAGCTGAGGCAGGAGGGTTCCTGTGAGTTCAAGACCAGCCTGGGCTACAAAGTGAGTTCCAGATCAGTCTCAACTACATAGTGAGACCCTGTCTCAAAAAAAAAAATCAGGAGCAACATTCAGAAGTAAGGAGTAAGGATGATGGCGGGGTGGGGGGCTGCCCCAGAAGATAACTGGTTTTCACGAGGAAATGTTTCAAGAAATGGAAGACTTGGAACACAATAAAATACTTCAAGCTCCTCAGAAGGCCTTGAGTAGATCACATTGTTGAAAATATGTATGAACAGAGATGAAGTTAAAGATTCCTGAAAAACTAAATCTATGGCTTTTCATGACTAAGACTAAATTACCAGGCCAAACAGGTCTTTTATTTTCTTTCTAAGAAGAATCCATTATACTGGATTATGCAAATTATAAGAAAACTTGAGGGAGAAAATAAGGAGTGTGCTAGTAATAAAGTTGTGGCAGGGATAAAAGAATGCAAGCATTCAAATCCTAGGTACATACAGCAAAACATCTGAGTAATTTGTGTGAACTACAGCAATGTTCACCTAGCCATATACCTCTAGAGAAGAAGACTCTTCCTTTATTATTGAACCATATTCAAGATGATTTTCTATTTTAAAGGTTTACAACCTTGCTTAGTGCCAGCCATTATAAAGGCTCTTCCTCTTCCGGAGAGGATAATATCCAGTACATAAGATGTACAGATCTCAAGAGTATAGTTCATTGAGTTTGGCAATGATATTCAGCCCTGTAGCCACCTGCCCAGACCAGAAGAAAACACTTCACCCTTCAAAGTTTCCACATGTTCCTTTCCAGTAAATCTAGCAATCTGCCAACCTGTCTTGTAGTTGTTACAACTTTTACTCATTTACTTATTTTCATGGTTCTGAAATTTCACATAAGTGGCCATACAGTATGGACTTTGTCTGGCTTCTTTTACTCATAAAACTGCCAAGAATTGCCTATATGATTGCATACATCAGAGGTGGTTTCTATTTTCAGAATAGCGTTATTTTCACTGTATGACTATACTATACTTTTTTTCATTCTACTAATAGATAGTGGTATTATTTCTAGTTTGGGGCTACTATGGATAAAGCTGTTATGAAAATTCTTATATAAGTCTTTCGTGGATAAATATTTCCATTTGTCTGACACAAGTACCCAGGGTTAAAATTACCAGATGTTTAAACTATACAAGAATCATCTAGGGCCGGGGATTTAGCTCAGTGGTTTCGGCGCCTGCCTCACAAGCACAAGGGCCTGGTACCAAAAAAAAAAAAAATTGTTTAGCCAGGCATGGTGGTGCACACCTTATAATCCCAGCACTTGGGAGGCTGAGGCAGGAGGATTGCTGTGAGTTTGAGACCAGCCTGGGCTACATAGTGAGTTCCAGGGCAGTCTCAACTTCATAGTGAAACCCTGTCTCAAAAAAAACAAAACAAAAGAATCGTCTAATGAAGATATATAAATTTATATTAATATTATTAATATATGAGAGTTCTGGACACCATATCTTAACTGATATTTATCTTTTCCCCCCATTAAATTTATTGGTACAGTTAAAGCAAACAATAGTTATATTTATCTATCATTGGGATCTTGTACCTTCACATGATATGTCTTAATTCTTATTTTTTCCCCATAATTACTTATCTTTTTTAAGTTTAGCCATCCTAATGGGTATGTGGTATTCTTTCAGGTAATTAGCATTCAAATGGTGATTGACATTGACTATTTTTAGCAAGTTTTTTTTTCTTTTTTTTTTTTTGGTACTGGGGATCAAACTGGGATCCTTATATTTGGGAGGCAGGCGGCGGAACCAATGAGCTAAATCCCCTGCCCTTTCATAAGTTTACTGGCCATTAGGAATACATATTACTGATACTTTTCCCAGACTACAGCCTATCTATTTGTTTGCACTTCTTTTTGATCAGCAGAAACTTAGGATTTCCTTGAAGTTTATTTTGTATTTTTTTAAATTAGATGTTATTGTGGTGAGAAAACACTACTAACCCCAAAGTCATAAAAATAGTTGTGTGTGTATGTGTGTGTGTTCAGGAAGCCTTCCAGTTTTTGATTTTCCACTTAGTACTATGATCTACTGAAAATTAATTTCTGATCATAATCCAAGGAAGAAGTTAATGTTAATTTTTGTCTTACATTCTGACCCAATTGTTCCAAAATCTATTGTTGAAAACTTTGCTTTCTTCTTTGAATTGTATTGGTATCAATGCCATCTTCCTAAAATTTTAAATTCAGTTTGTGAGTTGTGCAAGCCACCTTTCAAGTACTCAAGAGCTATATATGGCTTCTGGCTTCCATACGAATCATCACAGATATAAATATTTCAAGATCACAGAAAATCTATCCCACATCTGGGAACCACGTGTAATAAAATTTTTGGGTCCTGCCAAAAGTAACCTAAGTCAATAGCAGGGCAGTTATGAGGAAGTTAAAAATCAATCACTGGACTTATATAAGGTACCCAGCATAGACAAATTTAGACAGACAACATAGCCTAGTTAGATAAAAATTAATAGGCAGATGGGGATGGGCCCTCAAGAGAGTACTGTAGAGATGAAAACGCAAAATTACATGTGTTCACTATATGTGCCTCTAGCCACATTTGAAGAAGGCCAGGCCTCAAGATGGAGACACAATGGCGAGGCCTGCATGCCTTCCTAAGAGATAAGCAGCAATTTGAGATTATAGCACAATTAGCAATACCCAGTATAGTAAGTCCAGATAGGCATCAGATGTGTCAGTCATTGACCAGAACATTTAGACCATCCTCCCATCCCTTTCTGTCCCTTTCCCCAAAATGCCTTTGTTCTTTCTATGCTAGAAGTTACAGAAAGGCTACAGTTAATGATACTAGCCCTATACCCATGTTACATGCCTCACTTCCTTACTGGATCAATATTAGCCAAGCAGCTGTACTTGTAGTAACAGATTTTACTGCAGTTGGACCCATGTAATATCCACCTTATGGTTTTGCTCTATTAAACATTCCTGGAGAAATAGCCTTGGTGGGAAACCATTTTATGAGAACCCCTCCT